CCTCGCGCTCACGAGCTTCGCGCCTTTCAGCTTCTTCACGTTCGCGAGCTTCTACTTCTCGCCTTTCAGCCTCCTCACGGCGTGCTTTAATATCCACACAGGCCTCATCGACTTCCTCAGCCGACACTCCCTCATCCTTCATGATCTCAAGGATCGCTTGCTTTCGTTTCGCACGGCCCAAAGTAATGCCGAGTTCCTCACAAATTTCGATGAGTTCCTTCACTTTAAGGTTCTCCATCGTTCACACTAGCCTCTTGCTGTTTGCCCCTGTTAAAATCTACTTGCTGTGCCCACTATAAGCCTACTAGCAAGCCGCGCAAGCAATTTTTTCACGCTTCCGTGTTTACCCCCTCCGCATTAACTTTGGTTTCAAAGCGCTTCGACTTGGCTTGAAACGATCAAAGCTCACTTCAATGCTTCACACAGCCCTTCTCTAAACTACTACAACCTGAGCTAGAGTAGTCTGGTGAACTGAGGGGAAAACATCGGGCACTCACCGCATCGATGTCGCTGACGCCGGCCGATCCCGCAGCTGCCAACCACTGTTGAGAAACGGCCTCCGAAATCCCACCGCTGCCACCACTGTTGAGAAACGGCGGACCGATCCCGCCGAAGCCACCACTGTTGCGAAAGACGGCGACGCCAACACGGCCCCGGAGGCGCCACTGCTTTCAACTCCGCCGGGAAGGTCACCAGCCGTTTGGTAGCGTATGTTTATCAGCTCGCGACTGCTTCGGCGCAGAGCTGATAAGACGAGCGGACGAGACGACGGTGAGTCAAACAAGGTTTATGTACAGCATATATACAGAGGCGTTACAATTTCGGCACTGGGGCCGACAGAGACTCGAAGAGCCGAGCTCTTCTCTCTAACACATAGTTCAGCCTTTCGCCTAAGACCGCTGACTCGCGTACATGTCGGCCCTCCGACATGGGGTCTCCTCGCTCATAGGAACGCCGATCGCGACGCGCCGCAGGGCTTCTTTTATTTACACCGGGTCCAACCAAAATGTCCAATCAGAAGCGCCGCTGGTCGTCCGGGCAGATTCCGCCAATGGCGCCGCCGCGCCATGCGTCAGACCACCTGACACGAGGACGCCGGCTCGCTGTCACGTGCGCAACTGACTCACTGCACGTGGGCCAGAGGAGCGCCGCGCGTGTTCACGCCGTCGAGGTGATCGCGCCAGGCAGACTGCGGGCTGGCCTTGACCCAGATTGCCTTTTTCAGAGGCACGGTCGTTTGACGAGGACTCGCTGGCATAACAGCTTTCATCCTCGTGACTGATGCTCGCCCAGGGGGCTTCGTCTGGGAAAGGGGGAGTGTTACGCTGAAGCGGCAATGTGTGAAGCGAGGAAGAGGAGAACAAAGTGGGCTGTTTTGGAAGCAGCTCGGTGTCAGCGCGGCTACCCTTCGCCATTCGCCCTTCAACAAATACGCCCCATCAAAACAATATTGTGCAGTTTTATTAGTTCATGATAAATGTGCCTGTTTCTTTTATAATATGCCATATATCCCATTCAAATTCGACTAGAAATTGTTGAACTAAAACACTATTCGCTTCAAATTCACTTTGGACCTAACATTCACTATTTGCACAAGCCTTGAAAAAAATGCATCTAATGATGTAATCATTTGCAGTCTGGCAATACCAATCAGCCACTTGGTGCCCTTCTTCTTTATGTCTTGCACACTGAAAGCAGTGGAATCGCTGCGCACTGTAATCTTTAATACGGCCTGATGAGAGACCCTAGAAATGTAAAACGCAATTGACATTTGGCTAATTACTGTTCTTCTCGCTTGTAGGGTAGCGGCTCTACTTAAAATGAACTTTCTTTCAGAACGAATGAGACCCGAATAACTGTGGAAATATATAATATTTCAATGGCATAAAATCACACTTATAGAAATCGTCTCTGAGCGCCGCCGATCAGTTACAGCGAACGGAGTCAGCACTTCAGCGACTTTTAGGGACACATATTTCGACCACCGATAAGCCATCGGTGAGGTGCTCGTAAATCTTTATTGTCAAATGCCTCCAGAACCCTTTAGTTGTCACTCTCTTCAACTGTTTTTTGTTACACAACCCTCCATTCTTTGTTGCCCGCTACTCTGAGTACCCTGTATCTCCAGATGAGGCCCATGTTTTCACACGGCCACCGATCTTTTGAAGATTGGTCAGCTGACCAGTCTCCCCACAGTTTTTTATAGCTGGTCCTGTTACACTATCGTTGTCGTCGCCAGCCTAGAGTGACCAGACCATCTGCCAACACTGTTTATTGCCGACTGTACCGGATCGTCTAGATTGGTTTCATATCGTTCCAGTGCCCCCGCTTGCGCTGCCCCACCCTCCGTGTGTAGGTCCTGTTCTCGCTCACTTTGTGAATTGCTCACCATGCTCTCTACACGTGTGCGAATATGAGGGATTTTTCAATAAAAAAAATGAGAGAGTTTTCAAATAGTGTATGCAAAGCATTCCGTATCTATCAGTTGTGGTCGCCGCCACTGCACATGCATCGTAACGCTAACCGCCGTTATAGTTTGCAGTCTGCTCGCAAAAAATATGATGTAATAGCATGCGGCCCACAAGGGTTAGAATCAACCTTTGTGGTGATTTCGAAGAGATTGCGCACTTTGTTGCACAAACGCTGCTCCAAAGCTCATATGGCGCCCATACGCAACCTTGCTAACTCAGCATACGCTATTAAGAAGTCACAGTTTCAGCTCAAGGTCAAAGCAGTGAATGCAATAACAATACATCAGGCTGTTATACAGAGTAAAGCTAATAGATTTAGCAGCCATTCGAAATGTAGTGAACATGGTCGATTGTGCTTGAATTGACAGTAATGCAGTAACCAGATTATCTGAACAGGTGTTGTTATGAAAAGTTCGCCACTTGACGTCCGACTGGAGGCAAAGTCAAAGTTTGGCATCGAGAAACGTGACAAGCCACTGGTATACACATCGAAGTACATTAATGTTGGAGTCTCCAGTGATTATCACCGGCACATCCTGTAGGCACAGTGCATAGAAGCTGTGCAGCAAGAAGTTCATGACGTCGATCTGCAAGGCTCCTGGTAAGATGTACACTTTAGTGGTGACGACGAAGCTGGGCGATGTTTTAACGGGGAAAGCGTTACCACAACTCATCTGGGGCAGCCAGCTGAGGTTATCGGTCTAAATGAAAGTGGCGGGGCGCATTTTGATGGGATACGAGTTCACTGGCGCACATAACCAGTAGCTTCCCGAACAGGCTAACTGTATGTGCTTCAGTGAACCCCTCCACTGATCAAGCCTTGGGGCTCGGCAATGTTTATGGGAAACAAGGATGGCTTGTTGAAATAAGGTACAAGCTTTGTTCAAGAATGTTTCTTTCAAGTCCATTGAGAGTAAGCCAGTGATAATGCTGTATATACATAACTTTCCGTTGGTGAGATGGATAGCCTGAGTGGTGTGGCCTAGTTGGTTAATACAGCGTGCTGAGGAGCGAGGTGTCATTGGTTTAAATACCCGGTGCGTGCCTGTGCCTTGGAATTTTTTTCTCCTGATTCATTTTTATCAGTGCCTTTTATATATATATATATATATATATATATATATATATATATATATATATATATATATACGTACACATGCACATATCTGGGACGTGATGGCGACAGCAGAAATCAGTCGAGAGTGGCCATACAATTGCTATCACAATAAAACTCTTTATGAAGTTAGTGGAGTTGTGCAAGCCTGCCAGCACCACAATGTGATTCTATGACCTCTGCGCATCCAGGCTCCGAAGTTTTCCTACGCCTGAGTTGCACATTTCATGGATTGTTGAAGCAAGATGCCCAACATGCCTTCTTCCTGCGTTTGGGCTTTCAAGGTCGCCATGCTCCCTTTTCTTCACTCTATTGCAACTCCTTCACCTGTCTCTCACAAATCTGCTCTCTTGTCCTTATCGCAACTCTTTGGCCCATCTCCACTGTTTTCCGACGCTGGGCCCTAGAAGTTTCCTTTTCTGGCTAGAAACAGGCCCAGAGCATTTCCACGTGTACTGGCTTGTACGTTGTGCTTGCGTGTCTTTCTCACTGTTGGTGTGCCTGTGTGACCAGGATGGCAGAGGGGAGGCCTTCGCACATTTTCCTGCCACTCAACACAATGTCCAAAGTGCCACCGCTTGGCTTGGGCGTAACTTGCGCGTTTAAGAATTATTATATGTGCCGCTTTGTGGAGCGCTCCTCATATTTTTTGATCGCCTGGCAGCCAACTAGTCGCTTCGGGTGTTCCTGTATTCAGGTGCGGAGAGGGTGAAGGCTTATTGTACGTAACACCTACATGTGTGCGAAACTGTTTCTGCGAGGTCGACTTTGTCAATGTTGGACCTGATGCCGAGCCTGATGCTTCCGAACAGGACTACTCCGGCAGTGATTAGTGGCAGCGCATCGTAAACTACGACATGGGAGGGCTGCACATTTGCTGGCATGATTTTATCGCGGCCGATGGTGACGCCAACACTGTGGAACTATGCACGGAGGAGAACATTGTGAAGAAAGTGCACAGCAAGAGTGATTGTGTGAAATCGAATGAGGGCTACCATGACACTTTGGAGCCAGTTCCTACGAGTGTGCCTGTAGCGATTGGCTACGTCAATAGCCTCGGGCAGCTTGTATATGACAAGGGCCTCGATGAATAGCACGCTGTCACTTTAGATAAACTTGAGGCCCCCTTATTGTCTCTGCTCTTTGAAACACACGCATTAGAGACTTTTTTGCGAAGAAAAATTTCGTGGTTTAACTTGCAACTATTTTGCAACTAGCTGTGTTTCATTTACTATGAACTTCAGTTTACAGCGAACGAATCCCGCGTCACGGTCAGGTTTGTTAAAGTGGGCTCGACTTATTTTTATATTTGATTGAGTCAGCATGTCAGATGAAAGAATGAAATTTGTTTACTTATTCTGTATTTGTTTTACGAGCAGTGTCCAAGATGCAAAAAGTTGTCTCTACTCGTGCAGAAGCAACGCGACCCGAGACTCAATGAGATCCTGCACCCATTCTACGACGAGCGGCGGGCACGGGAGATAGTGTCGGCCCATGAGGCCAACCCCGACCATGTGAAGGAGGGTCGTCTCAGCCAGGGGGGCCTGGTGCGCTACCTCATGTCAGACGAGAATGCCCCCGTATTTCTTGACCGGCTCGACATGTACATGGAGATGGACCAGCCCCTGTCTCACTACTACATCAACTCTTCTCATAACACTTACCTCACCGGGAGGCAGTTTGGTGGCAAGTCTTCCGTGGAAATGTACCGACAGGTGCTTCTAGCTGGATGCAGGTTTGTAACTCTGCTGCAACTGATTTGCTTACACAGATGGCTTGATTTAGTGCAGATAATTTTAACACAGGGAGCCATGACATCCAATTTGGATTATAGTATATGGCGTGTGGGTTTAATCTCTGATCTTCTAGAAATGAGCTGGCAAAATTTTCGTGTATTTGGTTGGGTACTCAAATTACATGTGAATATTTTTAAAAACACACAAGCAGCCTGAAAGTTGGGCAACACTGGCTCACTGGTAAGTTGTGACGTAACAAGCAGATAACTGTGCGAGCATCCATATTTTGGCGAACGATGTTATTCCATGGTCAGCTGTGTGTGAAATTGAGATATTTCAACTTTTTTCTTGTTGCCATCGAAATTGACTGATTTGCAGTGGCCAGGGAACTGTGGTGGAAAACGGCGGCACCACTTCTTGCTGCACGTGCTGGCATTATGGCAAAATATTGGTTTACAGCTGGCATCTTCTAGGGCCTGTTTTGCACTGAAATATCATTTTAAGGCCCACTTTTAAAGTTTGTACAGGCACAATAAACCCTGTATTTCTAGTTTTTGCTGAAAACCACACATTGTTGGGTGACTGTTTGACGGATCCTTTGAACCAGGTGAAGAGCAGTAGAAAAGTTTTTATTGCTGCTAAAACTTTCTCCCTTCATCATGGCACATTATAAATATCAGCATAACCTTACCTTTTGTACATTTTAATGTTGCTACATTGAACTTGGTGTTGCAGCAAACAATTCTTTATTTCTTTTTATATGATCAGAAAAAATACCAAAACAAAAAGTCTTTTCATGGCAACTAATTTTCCTGGAAGTGCTGTACTTACATAACTGTAAGTCAACTTGTATGTACAATCACTCTCTCTCTCTTCAAAATTGCACGATAGGAAAAAAAAGAGAAAAAAATATTGGCAGATCCCATGTATTTTTAGAATCGACGATATGCGAAGGGAAGCTGTCTGTGTTCAATTTTTTTTTATTGAGTGAAGCATTACAAAACGACTCCTAAAGGTATGTGCAAACGCTGTGTGCAGAGACGTATGTTGAACAGTCGCATGTCTTTTATATAACCAGTTGTTTCAGGTTGCCTAATGATATCAATAGCAACAAGGGTATTGGCAACAGTGGTAGGATGAGTTGCAGTGCTTGTGTTTGCGATGATGGTAGCCCTGGACACTACTACGTAAATCAACTTCAGTGAATGGCTTTTAATCACAATTGACAATAACCCAACGTGACGGCTCTATCATAAAAGTAAGTGCAGTAGACTCTCATTAAACGGAACCTGAAGAGACCAATAAAATGTGTCCCGTTTAACAGGAGTTTCGTTTACTACAGATGAACAGGGGCACACAATGCAAAAATGAAACCAATCCTGTCAGAAGCATTTGTTTCACTTAAGCAGCAGTTCTGTTAAACAGATTTTCATGTACTGAGAGTTTACTTAGCCAGAACTGCAACCACAATTGATGTTTCACGAACATTATGCCAGCATAGTGTCTGTTTCCAAAGCAGTTCCAAGACCTGGCATGGCTCTGTGGTAGAATAGTTGATTGCCACGTAGAAGGGTTCGATTGCCACGCATAGGGTTAGATTTCTGCTGGGTGTTGTGTTTGCAAGGTGAGGCACTGAGCAATCTGAAAGAAACGGCACACATAAAGTTCCACGCCACGCCCCACTCGCCCTCGGCTGTAGCGAGGGTGTTTATATACTGTAGTGAAAAGGAATGCCCACTACCGCAGCGACATCGACACGTTGGCGCGAGTTGCAAGCTAGGACTGCCTAGTTGCTGCTGCAACGACGCCCGTATACTCGGCCAGCTCTCTGCTTCTGTCCCGATGCTGCTAGCGCTTTTCGCCTTGCATTTACAATATATTTTGGTGGAGGCTGCTGCGGTTTTTCTCGACCCTGGAATTGCGTAGCCGAAAGCTGCTGTCCGTCATGCCTGACGTCGCTGTCTTCACACACCCCCCGGGCTTCGCCACCAGGGGCTGTCCCGATGCCCAGCTCCTGCGAGCACCCGACATCTTCAGTGGCACAGGCGAGATAGACGTTGAGGATTGGCTGGAATCCTATGAACGAGCCAGCGCTAACAATAAATGGGATGATGCCATGAAACTTGGTTTCGTGATGTTTTATTTAACGGATGTCGCCAAGCTGTAGTACAGAAACCACGAGGCAGACATTCCTACTTGGACGACCTTGAACACCTGCATCGCAGCTGTTTTTGGACGTACTGGAGTGTGCAAACTTCGTGCAGAACAATGCCTACGAAGCTGGTACGAACAAACTGGTGAGACATTCACCAGCTACATCGAGGACATTCTCGACCTCTGCCGGCGTGTTGACCCGACAATGGTGGAAACTGACAAGGTACGAAACATTATGAAAGGCATTTCTAACGACGCCTTTCAAATGCTTCTCTTGAAAAACCCTGCCGCTGTCTCGATGCTCATCAAGCTGTGTCAGAGTTTCGACAAGCTATGACGGCAGCGTCTTCTCACGCGATGCCCTAACGTCCCGGATGACACCCTCTCAAGCCTGACAACCACCTCTGACCTTCAGTCGCTGCTATCGCAGATCAAGGAGTTTGTTCGCGCAGAGGTCGCTCGTCAGCTGTCACTGCTATCAACAGCCGGCCAACCACCATCACATCTGCCAGCAAATATTCGTGAGGTCATCCAGGAGCAAGTTTGCGCGGCTCTGCCATCTGCCCGCGACACTTTGCCGTTGCCAACCCCTGTGGCTTCTGCCGAAGTGAATGCACCTCTAAGCTATGCCGAGGTTGCCGCAAGTTCACCTGTTCAGACTTTCAGGTCACTACCATCAGCCGTGCCCACTCATCGGTTCGCTCAGCCAAGGTCCCTCCAGAGTAGTGGACAATGGCGTACACCCGACAATTGGCCAAAATGCTTTGCCTGTGGCCTGCCTGGCCACATAGTGCGATACTGCCGCTGGCGTGTCCCTGCCTATCACCAGAACTACCACCGGAGCTTCGAACCTGCCCCTTATGTGACACCGTGCCCTTCGTTCGCAGGCTCCCAGCACCCCGACCAGATGTAATCGTACGCTGACCACCGCCCTCCTGTTAGCCGTCGCTTGCCATCGCCTCGACGCTGCTCACCATCGCCGATGCGTCGTCGTCCTTCATCGCCGGAATGGGAAAACTAATTGCCGCAGTTCCAGAGGCTGGAACTGCGTCACCCACGAAAAGACCAAGGCCTCTCTCTTCACCGACAAATGTTGTGGACGTATATGTGGACGGCGTCGCTGCACTCACTGTTGTCGACACTGGTGCCGCAGTTTCAGTGATCAGTGCCAGACTCTGCGGCTTGCTCAAAAAATTATGACGCCACTAGCAAGTACATCGCTTTGTACATTGAGTGCAGAGCACGTCACGCCGGCCGCTGCCCGTACTGCTCGCATTGCGATTGACGGCCTCATCTATGTCGTTGAATTGCTAGTGTTGGATTCCTGCTCCCATGACCTGACCTCATTTTGGGTTGGGACTCTTTCTCCGCTAATAAGGCCAACATCGACTGCTCTCGCGCTGAGGTGGCATTTGAAGTGTTTAGCGACGCTCCTTATATGACACTCCTGAAACTGGGGACAAACTATTTGTGTCTCAAGACGTTACCATACTGCCGCACTCTTTTGCCCTTGCCATGGTGTTTTGCAACGCGCTCGCCGGATCGAGTGCCCTTTTCACGCCGTGTGCCATTTTCGTTCGTTGCAAGTGTTCGCTGCTACCTCATGCCCTTTTAGAACTTCATGACGGCGTCAGCAGACTGCTCATCTAAAATTTGCTGTCATGTTCTGTAACACTACTTCGGGGCGAGTGCGTCGGGTATGTTTACAGTATTGACCCTTCTGCAATTATCGTCATGCGGACTGGTTTTTTTGCCGAACATGAAGTCGCTGGATTGACCTGTGCCTCTTCGCCGCAGACTGCTGAGACCTGACATATGAGCAGCTCTATCGCCGACACGATAACCATTTCGCATCGTCCTAAGCTTCTACGACTCCTGAACAAGTTCCGTTCTTCCCTTGACTGCCAGCATAGTCCCCTCGGCCACACGTCAGCTGTGTGTCACCGCATCGACACGGGCACCAACGCACCACTGTGTCAAAGACCCTATCGCGTGTCCGCGACAGAGTGCCAGGTTATCGGTTACCAAGTAGTTGATATGCGCAAGCGTGGTGTCATCCAGCCATCAAATAGCCCCTGGGCATCTCCAGTCGATCTTGTTAAGAAAAAGGACGGGTCAATTCGCTTCTGTGTTGACTATCGTCATCTTAACAAAATAACTCGAAAACACGTTTACCCCTTACCGGAAATCGACGATGCCCTTGACTGCCTCCAAGGTGCGGAGTTCTTCTCTTCTATTGACTTACAGAGCTGCTACTGAGAAGTTCCTATGGTGCCTGAAGATCAGCCTAAATTGGCCTTTGTCACACCTGATGGCCTTTACGAATTCTGCGTCATGCCTCTCGGTCGTTGCAACGCGCCCGCAACATTAGAGCGGATGATGGACAATCTTTTGTGTGGCCTGAAGTGGAAAACATGCCTGTGCTACTTAGATTACGTGGTTATATTTTCGCCAGATTTTCCCACGCATCTCCGAAAGCTAGATGAAGTACTACAGTGCCTAATTGACGCCGGCCTTCAGCTCAACCTGAAAAAATGCCTCTTCGGTGCAAGTCGGCTTGCAATCCTCGGCCATGTTATTTCCTAAGACGCTATTCTTCCTGACACCGCCAAGCTTCAGGCAATTGCAGAGTTCCCTAAACCTGCATCTCTGAAAGATCTGCGCAGCTTCCTTGGCCTCTGCTCGTATTTCCGCCGCTTTATTCGGAATTGTGCGATGATCACCGCTCCCTTGACTGAACTTTTACGAAATGACTCAAAAAGCTACGCTTCGTCACCCGCCTGTGATGATGCATTCAAAAAGTTGCGCCACCTGTTAACCTCACAGCCAATATTGCGTCACTTCGACTTAACTGCTCCGATTGAGGTACACACCGATGATGCCAGCGGTGTTGGACTCTGCACCGTGCTCGTGCAGGGCAAATCGGGATTCCAAAAGTGCGTAGCCGCATACTCAAGCCGTAGCCTCACCAAAGAGGAGAAGAATTATTCTGTGACAGAGAAGGAGTGTCTGGCAATTATAAGGGCTCTTAGTAAACTTAAACCGTACCTATATGGTCACCCTTTCGATGTAGTCACCGATCACCATGCACTTTGTTTTGTTGGTTTATCCAGGTTGAAGGACCCCTCCGGCTGTTTAGTTCGCTGGGCTTTGTGGTTGCAAGAGTTTGACATACGTGTTGTCTACAGGTCTGGCTGATGTCACACTGATGCTGACACCCTATAGCGTTCATCTGTATCATCGGAAAGCTCTGCCTGTCGATCTGCCATGGACGAAACGGTTGCGTTTCCAGCAAACTACGACATGGCGTCTGAGCATAGGGAGGATGACTGGATCAGCACTCCTCTGCGATTCCTTTCAGACCCGTCGACTTCTCCATCTTCTTGAACATTGCCCTGTCAAGCGGTTCACTTTGAGATCCGCGATGGCCTCCTTTACCGCAGGAATTACAAGTCTGATGGCCGAAAGTGGTTACTGGTCATACCTCGCCATCTTCGTGCTGCAATATGTTCAGCTTTCCACGCTGACTCTCAGTGCGCACATGCAGGCATCTTCAAAACATGCGCTCGGCTTTCATCTCGGTATCATTGGCGAGGCATGTACATCTTTTTGTGCAAGTACGTTCAGTCATGCCCACAGTGACAATGACGGAAAGCTCTGCTTCACCACACCTCTGGTTTGATCCAGCCAATCACTTGCCCTGCCAGGCCTTTTGACTGCATTAGAATCGATCTGTATGGGCCTCTTCCATTCACCGCTTTTGGAAACCGTTCGATCGTTGTCGCTGTCGACTACTTGACGCGATACGCAAAAACAGTCGCTTTTCCTGCTGCCACAGCATGCGACGTATCATCCTTTCTCTTGCAGAACTTCATTTTCCGTCACGGCGCACCGCGTGAACTTCTCAGTGACAGAGGACGTGTATTCCTCTCCAAAGTCGTCAACGCACTCCTTGCCGAATGCCGTATAATTCACCGGACTACCACCGCCTACCATCTCCAAACGAATGGCTTGACGGAAAAATTCAACCGTACCCTTGGCGACATGATATCTAAGTATGTTGCCTCAGACCACTCTGATTGGGACCTCATTCTGCCTTTTGTGACATATGCATACAATACTGCTCCACAGGTGACTATGGGCTTTTCACCATTTTTCCTGTTATATGACCGAGACCCTTCCACCACACTAGATATCATTCTGCCCTACCACCCTGATTGCTCCGAGTCTGCGCCCATCTCTGAAGCTGCCTGCCGCTGTGAGGAATGCCGTAAGCTCGCCCAGTCGTTCACTATCATCGACCAATGGAGGCAAAAATCTCAGCGTGATGATAACCACCACCCGTACCGTAACTTTGTTCCGGACACCCTTGTGTGGCTTTGGGTTCCAGCTGTCTCTACAGGCCTTTCTTCGGAACTTGTTTCAAAATACAAGGGACCAGGACTGCCTTGTTGCTGCTGCGACGACACCCCTATACTCGGCCAGCTCTTGCTGCTTCTGTCCCGACGTTGTTACCGCTTTTCGCCTTGCATTTACATTATAATACTATGTCTTGACGGCATCCCATGGGGCCATACTGCAGAACAAGGTACATTGCAATGTAGAACACTAGGACCATAACATTTATTCCTTGCATTTGTTCGGTCAATGTTGACGATGTTGGTTTTTTTTTACGCAGTCATATTTAAATTACCAATGTTATTTCTCGCTGTTCTTCAGTAAAATAAACTTTGAAACTTCCTGGCACATATTTGCATACCTGTGGCACATACCTGCTGGTGGCCTATAGGGGTTTGTGCCACTTGTGACTGGCGTAAAGGGTTTGACGAGGTCAGAAAAGGATTTTCACTTTATTCATGTCAGGACCAGTGACTCATGTTTGTCAAGCCATCTTACCCTCCCATAGTAATTTTGGTTTACCCCAAGTTAATGATGTGATCATATAAGCACCCTTACATAGGTGGCTGGGTAGCCTGACAGACAGACAGAAAGGCATGACAAGGCGAAGGGTATGCAAAGGGCTGCAAAGAAATGTTTTGCATTTAAAAAAGCACAAGGACATTCTTTCATTTTATTCATTGACAGTGTTGCTGGATAGACTGCATATGCTCACTTAACATGATCAAACAGCTTATGTCGTGAAATTGTATGCACTGGTCCAGCTGGCTTTGAATTGAATTTTTCGCATTCCTGTTTCTGAAGAAAAGCCACTGGCTTCTTGTATGAGCATTTCACTTGTTACCAGTGGGGAATGATTGCATCGTTAGTTCATGTGCGCTATAAGTTCTGGAAAGCATCGAGACTTCATCATGCAAAGACTACTTGGTGTCGCATGTGCAAAAGCTTTGTTACCCTGCAGTCGCAGTTTCTGCATCAACCACTCAGAAACAAACCAATGAATCGAGACATTGTGTACCATACTTACTCGCGTAATGAACCCATCTTTTTTTTTTTCTTAGAAAAGTTGACGCCAATTTGAGAGATTCTTTAAGCGTGAGAAAAAAAGTCCTGAAAGCTGTAACAGCGAAAATTCGCATGATGAATTTGCTTGTTATGGCGCGCGAAATGTGCGCGGAATCTTTTTTGTAGCCTGAAGCTCTTGTTCTGTTCCGTGACGAAAGTGCATGGATCCACGCCAAAGTGTCGTCTTGCTGCTCGGTTCACATGTTGCAGTGCATGCTTGACCAACTTTTATTTTAAACCAGCGATGTAGCTAGCGTACCGGCTGAACACGCTCTGTGCAGCAGTTGTCTAACTAAGTTTACTACGACAAACCTGACAACAAAAACACAGCATCAGATAGCGCGCACAAACGTGCATGCACAACGCGCCGTCAGCGCGGTGGGCGCAGTTTTGCTTTGCATGGCCTCCTAGATGGCGGGCGCACAGTGTGTTTATATGCTGCGCGCCCCCCATCTCAGAGGCCATGTGCTTTGTTTTTTGCTTTGTTTTTGTGGCGCTGTGCTTGCGTGGCGCTATAAGCTAAGAGGTTTCTCCAGCATCTGACAGATGGTGCTTTGCCGCAATAGGCGCGACTTTAAGTTTTGAATGACGTCTGCGTGCGCGCTGCTCGCAACTGTTTAGCATGTTTGCGAAACTATGTTTTGACTTTAATTACGCCGTTATTTTGGGATATAATGGCTTGATTAAACATCGTTTTGATTGTCAATGGATCTGGTTACTATACTGAATCAAAATAAACAGATACATTAAAATTTTTTTTCTTTATTCAAGGACTGAAGTGGGGGGTGGGTTCATTATGCGAGCAAATATGGTATATCTTGTTTGTGTGGTTTTGAATTTTCTGTGCTAATAAGTGCCACAGTGCCAACTCCTGTCTCTCCTGTGTCGCCCCCAACTGTTGGCGGCAAAGGTCACAGATGTGTGATGATGTTGAATGCATACGGAGACAACAGCATTGCAGCCAGAATGCACAAAAATCTGCCCTTCTTGAAGTGTAACATGAGGCAGGGCAATATTAAAGGTCTTTTGGTTGAGAAGCTGTTAAAGCTGGCAGTACCGTGTCCGTTAACAAAAAATCCCTGCTGCCCCATTGCCACAGTAACTGCCACAGCTATGGGCCACCTGTGCTAAACATGGTCAAGCCACTGCCCCGCTTTCGCCATATCAACCGCCACAGTTTCTTGCATCTATGGCTCAGGGAAAGGGATTTCAACACATTCAGAGTGGCAGGCTTTTCACATACTCCGGATCTGCCTCTTGTTTGGCCAAGCACGCAAGTGCTACAGCAAAAGACGCTGAAGATTCACCAGTTTCACTGTGTCAGGCTGTGCACTACTTAGTGCGAGCTTTCTGTATTTCTTTTTTTGTAGAAATTGTGTCTTTACTGGGGCATTTGATTTCATTCAATTTTTTTTACTTTTTTCTGTTGACGTGCTCGAGGCTAAATTTTACTTATTGTTATGTGGCATCTTATTTGAATGCATGATAGCTGGAAGAAGGGTTGTAGTGAAGATGCATGCATTAGTTGTTTGTAGGTGAAAAGAACAATGTTCACTGATCGCCTCAGTTTAAGTGAGCCTTCACAGCGGTGTGAGCTTTGCAGTACTTTCCATCATGCAGGTGTGTGGAGCTTGACTGTTGGGATGGCAAAGGAGAGGACGAGGAGCCCATAATCACTCATGGCAAGGCCATGTGCACAGACATTCTCTTCAAGGTGAGTGAAAGCAGTTCACTCCTAATCCTTTTCAGTACACTTTCTTTAACATAAATTCATTGCTCATAGTAAAGACAGTGTGAACAATAACTATTACCAGATTGTTTTCAAGCAACCAGTTTGAATGTAGTTGTGGTACCTTTGGCATAAAACCATGACACAATTATCAAATTCTCAGAAAAAAAAAAAAGAAGGGCCTGATGAGAACTTGTAAGTGGTATCTGACTGGCACTTGGCTGGATGCGTCTTTAGGCTTAAGCGACCAACGTTGGTTGGCGCGGGCAGTTTGGTGACCTTCGGTGGCTGTGCGCTTATTAGTTGCGATGTTTCTACACTTGCACCGTTCATAAACCCCGCTGTGGTGCACAGATAGGACAGTAGACGTTATGTGCACAGACAGATAGAAAAACTATAGGCACGCGGCAATGGCCGAAGGGAGGGAGGAAGCAAGCCGAAATGGTTGAGGAGGGTTGGCAAAGTAATCAAAAACGGAAGTGATCCAACGGGTGAGGAGGCGCCAGATGTTGGTTAGCGGGACTGCTACGAATGAATGTAGGGCGTGCGTTTATTACGCGGGAAAAAAAAAAAAATCCAAGTTTTGATTGAATTGCTTAAAAACATAATGACGAGGACGACTAGTTTTTCTCTTTAGGTGATCGTGAAAGTATAATACATTAGCAGGAATGACTAAAAGCTTGTTATGAGGTGTACTATGTTACGCGAACTATAGCAGGCAACCGGTGATCAGCAGATGCTGCGGCTATCATCAAGTTTGGCGCGAATTAGTTTTGTTCATTGTCGAAGTGATCAACTTTGACGGAAGTTTTTGTCAGCTAACAGGCAAGTCACCGAGGGCTGTGTAAAAAAAAAAGTAACGGCAGAATTTAGTGGGAGCCTCATGAGTCGTGCTGTCGGATCTGCTCACATCCTTTGCATTACCCGTGATAGTTTGTGTTAACTGCTGAAAATCAATTAGGAAACATTGCTTAGCATTGTCAGGCAGATGGACTAGTGCGGCACGGCATATTTGCAGAAATCAATCCTTACAAATTCATGACTAGGTTTATGCATGTGTCGCCACACATTTCGATAGTGTACGATAGCGATTAAGCCCAGTCTGTGCCAAATTTTCTCGCCAACTCACCTGCACAAGTTGCAGAAACGAGCCAACAGGGCTCAAGAGCTTCAGCTTCGAACAAAGTATGCAGCTTATACTTTGGGTTAATACTTCACAGCAGCTGCTTCTTTCACAGCCCGTGGGGACAAATTCAGTGCCTCAACATGCGTGAGAAGTTCGGTCAGATATGAAAGTGCGGTGATAGTGTCACGGCGGTCGCATTTTTATTGAGGCGAAATGCATGGTAGAGGCTCGTGTACTGTGGGATGTCAGTGATTGTTAAAGAACACCAGATGGTCGAAATTTGAGGAGCCCACCACTATATGGCGTCCATAATAATGATATTGCCACTAGTACAAGTTCTGCTAGTTTTGTTTCCATAGATGCTGGCAGGCCTGTATGTGCCGGTGTACAAAAGAAAACGAAAGTGGACTTGCAGAGAAAACAATAGTCATATTGCCGTTGATCGAATCAGTTTGACATCCTTGTGTGCTATTATCTACAGGTTGCAGTTACAGTGTAACATGACACTGGTGGATGCGCTAGGTAATAGTCTCAGCACTGTTACCACGAGAAAGATCTCGGCCCCAACATCGACGCCTTGGTAGAAACTGCCAACCTTCGACGCAGTCGGCAATAACTAGGCCTATCAACCCAATTTGGCCCTCTTCCGGAATGCTCCAGAACCATGGCAAATGGGACAACTGCAAGCCAGATTAAACAGACCACGACTCCGCCAGTTCCATGGCCACCAGCCCCTCGAACCCCAAAGCCCTTCCATGGGGAGCCTTACGAGGACGTTGAAGACTGGCTGGACCAATACGATCGAGTCGCCGTCGCCAACGAGTGGGACAAGCACCGGAAACTGCGGTATGTCTATTTCTACCTGGAGGATTCAGCACGTATTTGGTTTGAGAACAACGAGGCTGTCCTGACAACCTGGGTGGTGTTTTGCACTCAGATGCTGAACACGTATGGTAGCGCCGACCGGAAAGAACAAGCAGAACGTCTTCTCAATTCTTGCAATCAAAGACCAAATGAAAGCGTGGCTATGTTCATTGAGGAGATGTCTCGTCTGTTCCGTCGAGCGGATTCTGCAATGACGGAAGACAAAAAAGTACGCATTCTGATGCGGGGTGTCAAGGAGCGGCTGTTTGCAGGACTTGTACGAAACCCACCAGCTACCGTGGCGGAATTCCTCCGTGAAGCGATAACAATGGAGCAAATGCTAAGACAGCGGTCTTCGCAGTATGAGCGGTCCGACAACCTTGCATGTCTGTTAGCACCCTCTGCAACACCCGACGTCATTAACGTGAGAGACCTTCCTCAGCTCGTCTGTAGCATTTTATTTATTTATTTATTTGCAATACTGCTAGCCCTTGCGGGCTGTAGCAGGGGTGGGAGGTGAACAGGTGAACAATACACAAACAATGTTAGGCAAAAAACAAGTCCAACCGTCGTTGAAAATCCTGTGAGGATCTACATCCTGTAAGTACCTCGGGAGGAAGCGCATTCCAGTCAACAATAGATCGCACCAGAAACGAAAACTTAAATACATCCACCCGCGGTACATAAGCTTGGACAGAAAATGAGTGATTGGTACGAGCCGACACTCGTCCTGGGGGGCGCAGGTATACACTGGGATCCAGCTTGTAGTTCTTATGATACAGGTCATAAATAAATTTTAAGCGAGCTCTTTTTCTACGTGTAGGTAACGATTGAAGGTCAGCCCTAGCAAGCAAAAGTGATACAGACTGTGTTCTCATGTAATTTGAATAAATAAACCTCGCAGCCAATCTTTGTACTCGTTCAAGTTTCTTAATTTCAGTTTTAGTATGCGGATCCCAGATGATAGCTGCGTACTCCAGCGTTGGTCTAACAATAGTCTTATACGCCAACAATTTAACAGAGGGCGTTGCATTACGGAGTTTCCTTCTCAGAAAACCCAGCTTTCGCTTTGCCAGTCCTGTAATGTTGTCAATATGCTTGTCCCACTTTAAACTGCTGGATATAGTAACACCTAAGTATTTAAACTCATTAGAACTCTTAATTTCTCTATTGTTTATTGTGTATTTATAGTTAAGGGGGGATTTTTATTTGAAATTGTCATGCAAACAGTTTTATAAAAATTAATTTTCTTGTCCCATTTTTCACACCAGTTGTCAATACATCGAAGAGCATCATTGAGGAGCATTTGATCAGAAACACTTTTCACATGACAAAACAAGAGACAATCATCTGCATATAACCTTACATCAACAAAAGGAGGCACAACCGTTGCAATATCATTCACATAAATTAAAGAGAGTAGAGGTCCCAACACGGAGCCTTGTGGCACACCTGAGGATACGCGTAAAAGAGAAGAACGTGCGCCACTTACTTCAACAAACTGCAACCTATTGCGCAAGTACGCTTCAACCCATCTTACAATTGCGGGATCAATACCAAGTATTAACATTTTTTGAATAAGTTTCTGGTGACATACTCTATCAAAGGCCTTAGAGAAATCAATTGCTATGACATCGACTTGTTCTTTTGAGTTTATCGCTGTAGTGAAAGCATGAACAGATTCAAAAAACTGAGTGACAGTTGAAAGGCCTTTTCTAAAACCGTGTTGCTTATTATAAAACAGATTATTGTTTTCTAAATATTGAAATATATATTTTGAAATTATATGTTCTATTACTTTGCACGCCGTGCATGTGATAGAAATTGGATGGTAATTACAAACATTAAGGCGGTCACCAGCTTTGAAAATAGGTGCAACTCTTGCTAATAACCAATCAATCGGAACAGCGGCAGTACACAAAGATAAATTAAAAATTTTAACTAAGAAACTAGAAACCCAATCAGAGTAGCGCCTCAAAAATTCGTTGGGAATCATATCCGGACCAGGTGATTTTTTATGATCGAATTCAAGCAGTAATGCCATTACGCCCTCTTTAGATACGGTAAGAAGATTGGAACTAGTATCATCGAACGTGCAGCCTTTTTTTGAATGATCAATACTTGGAGAAAAAACAGTACTGAAGTAATGATTGAGTGCTTCGGCAATCTGAATCGGTTCGCTATAGGAGGTCCCGTCTATAGAAAGCCCAGTTATTTCAGACTGCGAACTAGACAGGTATCGCCAAAATTTCTGGGGAGAGTTGGATATGTATTCAGACAATATATTAGTTAGAAAATTACTTTTGGATTGCTCGACTTCTCTTCGTACCTGAGCACTAATGTGAGCAATAACAGACGAGTTTCTTGGTATTTTCTGATGGGCGCGACATAGTCGTCGTTTTAGGTGAATGATACTTCTGGTAATCCATGGGTTAGCTTTTGCAGTTCTCTTTTCTCTTTGGGGAACAAAACGTGACAAACGGTCGTTTACTACCTTCTTAAAGTATTCCCAGAGGTCATTTATATCATCTGTAGGCGGGATAGCGTCAAAAGCCATTTCTAAGTAATCAAGAATTGAGGTATCATCTGCGGCCTGAAAATTGTACACCTTTACTCTGGTTATTTTTTCTAATTTTTCATTTGGTTTAAGAGTTGCTGCAACCACCTTATGATCCGAGATTCCATCCTCGATACTTATTTCATAATCAAACACTTCCTGTGACAAAAATAGTAAGTCCAACAATGTCTCGGTTTGTCCTTGAACTCGAGTGGGCTTGTCAACTACCTGAACCAAATCGTACTTGATCATGATGTCAAGCAGATTTTCTGCTAGAGGCCTGTTAAGCGGCCCAGCAACTCGTGCATTCCAGTCAACACCTGGTAAATTAAAATCGCCTGTGATTATTACTCTGCTTCGTTTGTTTGTCATTGTTAGCAAGTAGTCATCCAATTTCTCAAAAATATCAACTGAAGTTCCGGGGCCTATAGAGAACCC